ATTGGATTCTGAAAATGAAGATACTATATTTCATTTGTTTTTCCGATCCTCCTTACACTGGTATTGCCATATCAATGAAGCTTATTGAATTGCTGAAAGATTGGGGGTTAGAAAAGAAGGTGTCTTCTCTAACTGTGGACAATGCTTCAGCTAATGATAGCATGCAAGATTTTCTTAAGAAAAAGCTACAAAAATATCTTTTGTGCAACGGTGAATTCTTTCATGTTAGATGTTTAGCACATATCTTGAACCTAATTGTGCAAGATGGATTAGATGTGATAAGTGGAGCTTTGGAGAAAATCAGAGAGAGCGTTAAGTTTTTGAAGGGATCAGAGTCTAGGGAAAACATGTTCCAAAACTGTATGGAAACAATTGGATGTCATGAGGCTGGAGGTCTAGTTTTAGATATCTCAACTCGTTGGAATTCCACATATCTGATGCTAGAGAGAGCATTGAAGTTTAAAGATGTCTTGCTTAATCCGGCAGAAGTAGAGAAGAGTTATCAGTATTTCCCATTAGATTTGGAGTGGGAAAAGGAGATTTAATATGTAAGTTCTTGAAACCATTTGCTGAAATAACAAAGTTGATTTCGGGTTCATCATATCCCCCAGCAAACTTGTATTTTTTGCAAGTCTAGAGTATTAAAATGTGGTTGATAGATCATGAAGATTCTGATGACTTTGATATTCAAGAAATGGTGATTGCAGTGAACGAGAAATTTGACAAATACTGGGAAGAATTCAGCGATATACTTGCAACAACTGCTGTACTTGATCTAAAGCTGAAGTTTGCATTTCTAGAACTACAACACTTTGGATCCAGCCACTACTCAGTCGAAGTTGGCTCATGTGCTCAGAAAAATGGTTAAGCTTTTTGGAGCGTTTAAGAGAAACACAAGCAACATTACTACCACCACTTCACATACTTCACGAGAAATTCCATCAGGATACGATGTAAGTGTCTTCTATAATTGTTTTTAGTCTCCTTTTAATTCTTAATCTTTGTATAGTAGCTCTGGTTCTTGAAAATATAAGGTGATCATATCTAGTTTTTGTATTGATCATATTTTAGGGTTTTTATTCCTACTTTTCTCAAAAGACTGGTGGTAGTGGAAAGTCACCATTAGACACATATTTGGATGAGCCAGTGTTAGATCTGGTTTCATTTAGAAATATGAGTGTTTTGGACTATTGGAAAGACAATGCAAGTCATTTTATGGAGTTGTCAAGTATGGCTTGTGATGTGCTAAGCATTCTGATCGCAACAGTGTTGCTAATCAACATTTAGCATAGGAAGTCGAGTCCTCAACAAGTATATAAGCTGCATTTTACTTACAAATGTTCAAGCGTTGATATGTGCAAGGAATTGGTTTCGTGGTTTTGAAGAAATTGGTAAGAATTTCACATTTTTTCCAATATTATAGGTGATGAGTTCTAGCTAAATTCTTCTTTCAATTTTGTAGGTGATGAGATCGAGTTTGTTGACGAGGAGGAAAAAGAAGCATAATGTGATGGATTTTCTCAAAGTACTTAGTAGTTTGTGAACACTAATGATTTGTTATGTTAAAATTACTTAATAGTTTGTGGGTACTAATGATTTGTTATGTTAAAATTACTTAGTAGTTTTGGTTTGTTACTTTATGGTAAAAGTACTTATCAGATTCATCATTTTAGATTCTCAAATTTTCTTTTTTTTATAATAAAAATTTAAACATTCAACATGTAAATTAAACCAAAAAAAAACAGATTCCTCATTTTATAGTAGTCAAAAGATCAAATAAACATTAAGAGAATGAAAAGATGTAATCTATATTAGTAAGAAAAACAAAAGTCAATATATCAAATAAAACGTTAACAAATTAATATGGTCGGCCTGTGGAAAGACCATCTGGACATGGTCTAATTTGGGCGTGGATATTTTTTTCCCGATGCCATTACGACCAGTCCAATTATGCACATATTTGGATGAGCCAGTGTTGGATTTGGTTTCATTTAGAAGTATGAGTGTCTTGGACTATTGGAAAGACAATGCATGTCGCTTTATGGAATTGTCAAATATGGCTTGTGATGTGCTAAGCATTCCGATCGCAACAGTGGTGTCTAAAGTTAAGTTGGTTAAGAGATTACAAAAGGAAGCTGAAGATGAAAGCAGAATGAGAGGACATTCTAAATTGGGCTTAGGAGAGTTTAGGTTGCTCTAGAATTCACCCTAGATTTCTATCTTTGGCTCTTTGCTTCGGTTTGTTCTCACTAGCTTGTCTTATGTACATAGATCTAGAGAACAAATACAAGAGGCAATCTGTTGAATGATGCCATTTTGGTTTCAAACCAAACCAGAAGAAATCTAGTCAAAGAGGAGTATAAGAACGGTTGAAGACATGGAGAAAGAAGAAGCTATATCTAGCCTTTTGTAACGTCTGAGTATAAAAAGTGTAGTAGGTGTAAGCTATTAGAAAGTTGTTGCTTTTTCATTCCATGTATAAGTCTAGAATCTTGTCTTGTAATCGATTACAACTTGATGAAAATGAAAAAGACAATATGTTCAAGCTATTTGCTCTCTCTCTCTCTCTCTCTCTCTCTCTCTCTCTCTCTCTCTTTCTAAACAAATGATGAACAAGATCAAAACAGAATACTCTATTTGAAGAAGAAAAACAACATGGTATCAGAGCTCAGGATGATTCATGGAGACTCACTGAACAACATGAAGATGGTGAATCAAGAAGATTCAGCAACAAAGAAAACCAAGGTCAGAGAAACCAAGGTAATGGTTCAAAGAACCAACTCAGCAAAGACAACTCAAGCGAATCATGAACATGATGAAGAAGAGAAGAATCACATGTCCACCGCAGAACAAGGAGATGAAGAATCAAGCAAAGGAATTATTTGGCTCATTGATAGTGGATGCACAAACCTTATGACGCCAAACAAAGAAATGTTTGTGAGGCTCAACACAAACATAAATTTCCCAATAAAAGTTGGAAATTGAGCTTTGCTAATCTCAGAAGGAAAAGGAGACATTGAAGTAACAACTAAGAAAGGGAAAAAAATCATAAGAGAAGTCTTCCTTGTGCCTAACCTTGATAAGAATTTGCTAAGTGTACCGCAAATGATTACAAATGGATACAAAGTCATCTTTCAAGAAAACTATTGCATCATTCATGACAAAACTGGGAGAGAAATAGGAAAAGTCCCAATGGTAAACAAGAGCTTCCACATCAAATGGAACTCCAATGAAGAAACGGCAATGGTGGCTAAAGATAAAGTGCAGAGCTATGGCATAGAAGACTTGGACACAGGGGCTATACCAACTTGAAGATTATGCAGTCAAAAGGGTTAGTCACAGCCAAACTTCAACATAACTCAACAAGGATGTGAAAGCTGTATCATCAGCAAACACATTCGTGACTCATTTCCAAGAGATTCTGAGTCAAGAGAAATTAAGAAGCCCGAGCTCATTCACAGTGATTTGTGTGGACCGATGCAAAATACATCATTCAGCAAAGCAGGTATTTACTCACATTTATTGATGATGCTACTCGGATGGTATGGGTCTATTTTCTGAAAGTAAAGTCAGAGGTCTTCAAAACGTTTAAAAGGTTCAAAAATCTTGTTGAGAATCAAGAAAACTCTAAGATCAAAAGACTCAGAACAGACAGATGGTCAGAGTATCTATCAGGAGAATTCACCAAGTTTTTGGAAGACAGTGGCATTGAAAGGCAATTGACGGCGATTTACTCTCCACAATAGAATGGGGTTTCAGAAAGGAGAAACAAGAGCCTGGTGGAGATGGCTAGAGCAATGGTTAAAGCCAAAGGTCTTCTTCTAAAATTTTGGGCAGAAGCTGTTTGCAACGCAGCTTATGTCAAAAACAGAACACTGACTTGAGCTCTCAAGGATATAACTCCTCTTGAGCATGGATACCATCAGTTGGACACATGAAGGTATTTGGTTGCTTGTGCTATGTCCACATTCCGGGTGAGAAGAGAAGAAAATGGGATGAAAAGTCAAGAAGAGCAATATTTGTTGGATATAGCTCACAAACTAAAGGATACAGAGTATATCTCGTGGAAGAAAACAAAATAGACATCTCAAGAGATGTCATATTCGATGAAGAAAGTCAGTGGGACTGGACCAAGAAGGAAGCTGTAAAGGATTACAACATATCCATTGAAAATAAGGAAGGAGAAGAAGATCCTAGAACTGAAGATATCGAGCCAAACAATGATGAATTCGTTGATGGAGGACCAGCATCACTAAGTCCAGATCAGAGGAGTTCAGGAGGAAGTTCCGGTAGCATCACTCGCAGACATTCTTCTTACAGCTCCGTATGCAGACTTGGAGTACTCTGCTGTAATGGAAGGATGTTATAGTGGCTTAGAGGAACCATCTCTATTTGAAGAAGCAGTCAGATACAGTGAATGGAATAAAGCAATGGAAGAAGAAATCAAAATGATTGAGAAGAATGAACCATGGGAATTGGTTAAAAGACCATCAGGGAAAAACGTGGTTGGAGTGAAATGGATCTACAGACTGAAAACGGATGCAAAAAGAAATGTGGTAAGGCATAAGGCAAGATTAGTAGCAAGAGGATTTACACAGCAATATGGTGTTGATTACTTGGAAACCTTTGCTCCGGTTTCAAGACATGAAACCATCAGATTACTCATTGCAGTAGCAGCTTAAAAGGGTTGGCAACTCTTTCAACTTGATGTCAAATCTGCATTTCTAAATGGAAGACTAGAAGAAGAAATCTACGCTGAGCAGCCTCTCGGATTTTAAAGGAGGGGAAAGGAAGATTATGTTCTACTGCTGCACAAAGCTCTCTATGGACTTAAATAAGCCCCAAGAGCATGGTACTGCAGGATAGGCGAGTTCTTTCAAAGAGAGAAGTTCAAGCGAAGTGACAATGATCATGCATTATATACAAAAAAAAACAATGGAAAGATCTTGGTTGTATGTATATACGTTGATGATCTCATTGTCACAGGAGATGATGAAGGCATGGTGAGTAAATTCAAGAATGTTATGAAAAATAAGTTTGCAATGTCAGACTTGGGTCTACTGAATTACTTTCTTGGAATGGAGATTGTGCAGAAACAAGATGGCATATTTCTTTCACAAGAATCTTATGCCAAGAAGTTGTTGAAGAAATTTAACATGGAGGAATGTAAAATCATGACTACACCATTGATACCTCAACGCAAGCATCAGAAAGAACAAGAAGAATCTGCTGATAGCAAAGTCTACAGAAATCTAGTGGGAATTATGTTATATTTAACAGCTACAAGACCGGACCTGATGTTTGCTGCTTCTTACTTGTCTAGATACTTGAAGGAACCAACAACATCTCATCGCAAGGATGCACAACGAGTTTTAAGATATATCAAGGGAATGATCGACATGGGTCTATGGTTTACTAAAGCTAAAGAAGCTAGACTGATTGGTTATTCAGACAGCGATTGAGGAGGATGTAAAGAGGATTTGAAATCAACCACAAGATATTTCTTCAGTATTGGATCTGCAGTCTTTATTTGGCAAACAAGCAAGCAAGATACCATTGCTCAATCAACCTCAGAAGCAGAGTATATGGCTTTATGTGCATCATCAAACCAAGCAACATGGCTAAGAAGATTACTTGAAGACCTGCGGATCAATTCTCAAGAGGGAGTACCTATTTACTGTGATAGTCAATCTGCTATAGCGATTGTGAAGAATCCTGTTGAGCACAGAAGAACTAAACACATCCAAATCAAGTACCATGTCGTCAAGGATTATGAGAGGAATGGAGAAATTCAGTTAAAGTACTGTAAAGGAGAAGAACAGCTAGCTGATGTATTTACTAAAGCATTGAGTGGACAAAGTTTTGAGAGATTTCGTAACAACCTCGGTTTGATTCACAAAATGGCAAGTGGGACTGTTGAATGATTCCATTTTGGTTTGAAACTAAACCAGAAGAAATCTAGTCAAAGAGGAGTGTTGGTTTTGGATTTAGCCCAAATCCAGCCCACATGGTACTCTGGGCCTTCAAGCCCACAAACATGAGAGAATTGGCATCTTCTGGGAATATGCTCAACACGAGTCGGACTAAGAGAACGAGGAGATGTGGATAAGTGAAGATCGCGGAGATCTCGGAGAAGGGGATAACGTATCAACCCACAAACCTTGGATTCGTTCGGCTCGGCAAACTAGTATAAATAGGAGTTTAACACATTGTAAATTTCCTTCCATGCTGAGCCAAAAGAGCACTTTGTAAAATTATTCTTATCAATATAAAATCCAATTCGTCGAATCTTGTCTTCTCTTTTATATCGATCTTATTGAAGTTCTTGCCCAAAACCTTCCACACAAAACTAACACACTAAATTCTTGAGTGTGGATTTTAGGATCCACATTTTGGCGCCGTCTGTGGGAAAGAAACAAAAAAAATTTTTACACCAGAGACCGATTTCAAAGACAAGTAAGAACAAAATGGATCCCAGAAACACTGAGATACCTAGCCCAAAGACAAGCTCCGGCCTCGCACTAAACCCCAGCATCACAAATCGATCTGGAAGTGTCGAGATCACCGATCAACAGAGCTCGTCTGCCCAGAAACAGACGAACGAGTCGAGCATCGCAAATCCGACAACCAGCTCGACTCAAACTAGTACTTGGAGTGCGACGCAAACTATCGGCATAACCTCCGTGACGCGCACGGAGTCCAGAACGGCTCCAATGTTCACGTACTTGCGGACTTGGATGAGACCTGGAATTCCACAAGTTGGATCTAGTAGTTCAGATCAAACTGAACCCATCCGAGCTGGATCATCTCAGACAGTAACCAGTGACGACCTATTGGAATTCCGAAGGATGCTAGCCTTTCTGGCGGAACAAGCCCGCGAGCAACGAACTATCCTCGCATGAAATGAGAAAGAGATAGCCGATATGCGGCGAGAGCAGGCACGACTAACCCAAACTCAAGGCAAAGACTCAAACGATATATCCGAAGAGGAAGATCAAAGTACGCCCCCAATCTCTCGCCTGGAGTTTGGACATATCGCAATTAACAACCCGTCTACGCAGTTCGTCACTCCCCCTCGAACTAACAGCACCCAGATGTTTAGTTCGACAGTCAATCATCGAGCAATCTTTGGATCCGGACAAGCTGAAAACAAAGTGGCTGCGGCAGACGATCTTCGAGATCCACCTCAGAGCTTTCAGGCTAGCCGTAGCTCGGGCTCACCTAAACGACAAAGAAAAAGAAGCAGGCTTTTGCCGGCTCTTCACAGAAAACTAGTCAGACACACTTTAGAATGGTTCGCCGGATTGGAAGAAGGATCCATTGACAATTTCACACAACTTGCTTCAGCCTTCCTTAAGCAATATTCAGTATTCATCGTATCCAAAGCTACGGAAGCTGATCTGTGGAATTGCAAACAGAATTATCAGGAATACCTGCGATCCTATTTGACTAGGTTCAAAGAAATTAAATCCATGATATCCGACCTAAACGAGGGAGTAGCACTCTCCGCGCTCAAACAAGGGTTTTGGTTCGATTCACCTTTCAGACAGGAACTATCAGTTTACTGTCCGGTGTCTCTTAGATGACGCTCTGCACAAAGCTTCGAGCTTCACTCACTACAAGGAGGAGCAACATATCCTCCGAGAGCAATTCGAAGTCGGGTTACTAACACCCAACCTCACTGCTGCTAAAAAAGCGGCCAAAAAAGAGCCCGGCGGCAAGGGGTTGCATGCTTTCACTATCGGGAACTCGTTTAAAAAAGAGAAGAAATCCACCTATGATGCTAGCAAATTCTACACCCATCATAACAAAAAGGAACATTCTACTGAAGAATGCCGCACATTCTTAGTCAAAAAAGCTAGACTCGCCGGAAAAACCACGGAAAATGGGGAGGATCCCGAAGAGAAAAAGGAGGAGTCCGAAACTTCAACGAAAACCAAGAAAACCTCTAAAAAGAAAAGGGAGCAAGCTCCCGCAGAAGAAAATCCGAACTACCCCTCTCTAGCCCCTAAAAAGAGAATAGATCTCATATTCTGAGGGCTCAGTCAGTGCCAAAGATCTATGAAATCAGTAATCTCCCCACCACCTGCTCCCAAAAAGGATGCTACCTCGAAGGCTGAAAGTTTACAGCTGGCGGTCCGCGAGGCTGCAAAGCCTGAACCTCGCAACCCATTGCGAGTCTTAGATATTTTCGAGCCACACCGGCCTAAACACATATACTTTATATCCGGAGGTTCAAAATTCTGCCAAAATTTGGTAAACTCCATAAAAGCCTACCAAATGAGGGTCGAGACCGACAAGCGGGAGCGCGCTCCCCTACAGGGTCCCGACCACAAGATAACCTTCCTGGAGAGCGAGACGCTCAACCTAGACAAACCCTATGACGATGCTCTTGTAGTTCATCCTGACGTCGGGGGATGTAAGCTATCCAGGATAATGATCGATATTGGAAGCTCTATTGACGTGCTGTTTTACAGCGCGTACAAACAAATGGGTTACGGTGATGACACTCTATGTGGCACCAAATCACCACTTACCGGTTTCGCAGAAGAAACCACCTACTCTATGGGAACTATCACACTTCCGATAGTAGTCGGCGAAGTTCAGCAATTGACAATCTTTGAAGTTGTAGATCGCTCTGCCCCCTACAATGCCATACTCGGAAGACCCTGGCTCTATAATATGAGAGCGGTACCTTCTACATACCACCAGTGTGTGAAGTTTCAAACCATTGAAGGAGTCAAAACTCTCCGCGGAAGCCAGCGAGCCTCCAGGATGTGTTACATGACTGGCTACAAACAAATTGAGCAGTCCCCCTTGTAGCAATTACATAAACAAGATGAGCTCGTCGAAAAACAGACTAAGCGAGGGAATGACCCTACGATTCGCGATCCGCGCAAGAACCTGGTCGTTCCAGTCTGTATTGATGACAAGCACCTCGATCGAGTGGTCAACATCGGGTCAGAACTCTGTCCGCAAAGAGCTCACAAAGTTCTTTAAAGAGAATATCGCAACCTTTGCATGGTCCACAGAGGACATGCCCGGGATAGACTTACAGATAACCTCCCACAAACTAAATGTCAACCTGACTTTCAAACCAATCAAATAGAAACGCTGCAAGCTCGGCCCGTACAGAGCTAAGGCAGTAAATGACAAAGTCGATCGACTACTCAAGGTCGGTTTGATAAGGGAGGTCAAGTACTCCAACTGGCTAGCCAACCCAGTCGTTGTCAAAAAGAAAATGGGAAGTGGAGAGTCTATATGGACTTCACCGACCTTAATAAGGCATGCCCAAAAGACAGCTTTCCACTCCCACACATAGATCGACTAGTTGAAGCTATAGCCGGTCACGAACTATTCTCCTTCATGGATGTTTTCTTGGGGTATAATAAAAAACTCATGAACCCCGAAGACCAAGAAAAGACTGCATTCATAACAGACCGTGGCACATACTATTACAAAGTAATGTCATTCGGTCTAAAGAACGCATGAGCTACCTACCAACATCTAGTCAACAAAATGTTTGCCAAAAGCTCGGCAAGACTATGGAGGTCTATATCGACGACATGCTTGTCAAATCCTCGAAGGAAAAGGACCATGTCGCACAGCTTAGAGAATGCTTCACGATATTGAACCAATACAGAATGAAACTCAATCCGACCAAGTGTTCGTCAAGAGTAGCATCCGGAGAATTCCTCGGATACATATTAACATAAAGAGGAATAGAAGCTAACCCTAAACAGATTTCAACCTTCCTCGAGATGTGTTCCTCTAAAATGACAAGGGAATTCCAAAGATTAACGGGAAGAATAACAGCCCTTAACCGCTTCATTCAAGATCAACGGATAAGTGTTTACCTTTCTACCAACTGTTGAAGGGAACAAAAAGTTCCAATGGAGCGACGAGTGCAAAACAGCATTCCAACAACTCAAAGCTTATTTGAGTGAACCGCCCATCCTAGCTAAATCGGTCGAAGGAGAGCCTTTATATCTTTATATAGCCGTATCTCCTGCCGCAGTAAGCAGCGTACTCGTCCGTGAAGAGCAAAACGAGTAAAAACCCATTTACTACGTAAGTAAAACACTAGTAGATGCGTAAACCAGATATCTCGCTATAGAAAACCTAGCTCTGGAAGTCGTAATGTCAGCCAGAAAGCTACACCCGTACTTCCAATCCCATTCAATAATAGTAATGACCTCTCAGCCCTTTCCCGCTATATTACATAGTCCCAGCCAATCAGGACGCCTCGCGAAGTGGGCCATCAAGCTAAGTGAGTATGATATTGAATACAAGATCAGGACCTGCGCGAAAGCTCAAGTCCTAGCAGACTTCATCATAGAACTCACCCTAGACTCAAACGACTGGGCACCCACCAATAAAAAGTGGACACTCCACGTAGTTGGTGCATCGTCAAAACTTGGGTCCAGAGTCGGGATCAAACTTGTATCCCCAACAAATGAAA